ACACACACACACACACACACACACACACACACACACACACACACACACACACACACACACACACACACGTCCAGGACCGGTACCAGCTCAAAATCCACAGGAGATCAGGGTCTAATAATTTTGACATCTTATCTCATAATTATGAGATCCTGATGTCGTAATTATGACATCTTATTTCATGATCTCGTAATTATGAGATTTTTTTCTCATAATTATGAGATCAGGTGTCCAATTTATTTATTTGTTTGTTTTTTTGGTGAATGCAATGCTCTTCCGTTTACGGAGCCCGCGAGGGGACATGGGGGAATTTCTTTTTCTTTTGCGTTCCCACGCAGTACTATTGTGTTTCCTCGCAATATCTTCACGTAACCTCACAATACTKTTGCGTTAACTTGCAATATTGTTTTGCGTTCCCACGCAAAAGTTCGTTTTGAATACAAACTGAATTAAAATCAGACTTTTATTTTGAAATATCCGGTTACCAAAGCAGGATGTGTCACCACAGTTCGTGAAATCGACATTGATGTTGCATGGCTGCACTGTGTTAAAATATAAGCATATGACGTACTTCCATGCGTATGTGTGTGATATATTCATTCTGAAGCTGAATTAAAGCAGTAGGCTAACTCCCTAATGGTGAAAATGTGAGTTTGTTGTTAAACCGGCAGGCACAACAGTGATAAAGGACTTTTGCAAGGCAACACAAAAGGTATTGCGAGGTAACACTATTGCGTGGGAACGTATAAGAAAAAAAATCTCCCATGTCCCCTCACGGGCTCCGTACTTCCGTAAATCGGTAATGCTGTAAAAAAAATAAGTATTGCGGGTATTAAATTGAGATTTGTTAATGGTTGCTGCTTAATGATACATGAATTTCTTCAGTACTATGAATAAAAAAATCTTTATGTAGACATTTGTATTTGGATCAACATTTAATTCCCTCTCTCAGACTGCACTGGAACAACTCCTGTTTTTTAATAAAAACAAATTTAAGAGTAGCTGCATTGTCTACATTTGGGCTGCTGTGTTAGTTGTCAACCATCAGCAGACATTAAATTCAATTGGAACGTGAAGTTTTCTGACCAAGAAAAAAAATGCAGTGGAGGAGCTGCCATGGCAGATTGGGATCAGTTTCCATTTTGGTCCCCATGGTCGGCCCTGATGTGGCATTGATGTAGTGATGGGGTGTGTCTCCTTGAGCACAGGAGGGCGGTTCACTGCCTTCAAGGCCCTGTCATATGAAATCACAGAAATCATCAAGTCCTCTCGATCGCCCTCAACCTTTCTCCACCACCTCCATCTACTGTACCTTACTGTTTCTACATGTTGAGAACCAGTCTCGTCTTCACAGCCACTTTTTTCATTTGTTTCTCCTTGACATTCCCTTTGTATCACCTCTTACATCTCTCCCTTCTCCCTCTCCCTGTGTGCCTCCAGGTCACAAGGAGCTGATCTAACCTGCTGTTCCTGAGTCTTAACTAAACTTCAGTTATGTCAGCTCGCCTGCATCAGGAGTTCTACCAAAGCCACAGGGATGCCAGGACAAGAGGAGACAGAAGAAGAAAGAAAAAACTATGCAAAATGAGAATATCCTGCCTCATTGTGGTATAATGATGATGATGATGATRATRATAATAATAATAATAATAATAATAATAATAATAATAATAATAATAATAATAATAATAATAATAATAATAATAATATAATGTTTTACGTTATAACCACATGCAGTTAAAGGATACTGTCATTTTTTTTATTTAAAACATTTACATATTTGTAATTTACCCTTAATTTTCAAATCTTAAAACACACATCAAATCTGCTGTATGCTTGTGTTGGTTGGTCTGACCCAGTCGGCATGACTGGATCTGACTTGTTTACACCAGTATATTCTGATTTATAAAACTATTTTGGGCCAGTTGCTTTCATACCTTCACCAACATTACTCAAAAAGCTCAGGAGGTTAAATAGTCTTTGAGCCCAGGATGTTGTTTTGTTGACCAAGAGCCTGTACTGAGTGAGTCTGGAAAAAAAGCATTTAAGTATGCTGCACTTAATGCCTGGAATATTCTGGAGAAGTACCCTAGAAAATAGGAATATGGTCTCTGAAAATTTAAAGAAATTCTTGATGTCTTGAAGGCATAAACATCAGGTTGTAGATATTTTGCATAATTTTTATTTGACAAAGATTATGTGTGTGTGTTTTTATTGATGTAACTTGTCCTTATCTGTACTTATGTCTGTCTTTAAAGGATACATTTGGGAAAAGAATCTTGCAAGTCATGCCTCAAATGAAGGAAATCTTTCTCTTCCAGCTTAAAATAAAGTGTTTTAGAGTGTTTCAAGTCCATATGTTTATTTTACAATGCACAATGTGAATTGCATATTTTAACTGGTTGTGATCTAAAATTACACGTATCCAGGGTAATGATAATATTATAGACAGCACATTTTAATCTAGAAAATCTTGCACAAAAAATGGGCCTTTAAGTTAAAAGAAAAAAACAGCCAACAGCAAAGCAAATGTGTGTTCACACTTAAGAATCCACACACATAAAAACCCATATTTGTGAAAGTTGTGGAACATTGTGGACAATAAGCTGCTGACATCCCTATTACGATTCAACTAATCTCCTCTTCAAGCAGCGTGCACTGAGTGCCAACCTCTGATAAGCCTTAACCCAACCATTAACACACAACCAAATCCAGTGCTTCCACTCACCCATGGCAAAGAACGGGATCCCCAGAAGTGTGGAGTTGAACTTTCCATCCGATATAAAGAAGATCCCTGCAGCTGTCACATTTGCAATGCAAATAGTCAGCACCCCCAGGAGGCCGAGGAAAGGCTTCCCTCTCAGGCAATCCCGCATGGAGCTGGAAATGGTGGCAGCCAGCAGCACCAGAACCAAGCTGACCAGTACTTCCCCTTTGGCCAGTATCCCAGTCTGGTGGAAGTCCCGCCACAGGCTGAAGGAGGTAAGAGACAGGATGTGGAGCTGGTCAGTACCATGTGGCACCTCGGCTGTGGATAACCGCTTCACCAGAGCGCAGAACTCATTCTCCCAGCGATCTGCAATGGCGTCCTGCACCACAGGTCCGTGGGTACGGAGGTAGTAGGTGATCTGGACCGCACGGGCAAACTTGACCTGCTGGTCGCGGCTGTTGGGCGAAAAGGACACGCCACCCAGCTGGTGCCCAATGAAGGACACTCGTCCATTCTGCAAAGAGTTCAGAGAGGTCTGATGTTAACTGGAAGAACCACCCGTTCAAAAACAAGAACAAAGTGACATAAAGCACATTTGTGCTGTTAACCTCTTATTAACGACTCTGCTTTCATCATTACCCACTGCCAAAAAGTATGTGCATGATAGTGTTTGGCCTGTCTCTGTCAATCATGTCACATGCTTGAAATGGACATTATTAGACATTATCAGTACCCTAGAATGGCTTCAGAATGTCCCGCCTGTGCCGGTTAGCAGGTTCCCCGTCCCATAGAATGGCTTCCGATTGTCAGCTGGTTAATATGAGACTTAAAGCCACTATCTGGTTAACATGAGGCATAAAAAACTGGTTAATATGAGGCTTAAAGCCACTAAGGTTATCTTTAGAGCAAATGACATGGTTACAGCTAAAGACACTGCCTTCCAATGGTTGTATATTGTGGTCTTCCAATAGGGCAATGGGTAGAGTGTCGGACCAGAGAGGGGAGACCAGGGTTTGAGACTAACACAGACACAAAAAATTTCTTACGTTTTACTTATTTACACATTCATTGTCATTGATATATTAACCCACTAGGGGGCACTGTCGABACAGTCTGAAGCCTAGAAGGCACAGTAGGGACCCTCTGAAGCCRTTGTATGGGATTGATGACACCTAATAACGTCCATTTCATGGACTGATAACATCAGAATCCCCTGATCATGTTTGACTGTTAGAAAAAAATATCTTGTGAACCACCAGACATTTTACTGAACCTTTCAAACGTAATCTTTGGCTAGTAGCCACCACAACTAATCAACATTAGCCAACACCAAATCTCTATAATTAGATCAAATGTACATATTCTGAACTATATTGGGATGTGGTAGTAAGTAAGAGTCATTTCCAACATATACTCTGAGAATGGGRTCTCACAAGTCGCATGAGACTGAGCTTAGTATTATTTTCAAAGTTTGATCAAAATAGCAATAACTCCATCATTTATCATAAAATGATCTTAGTCTTAAATTCTGGCATGAAAAGCAGTGGGCGATTTGCATCTTTTAAAGAAATGATAGGCTTTTTAGTAGAGTTTTTTTTCTTTTCACTGTGTTAGCTATGTTTAGAAGGTGCATTTTTGGGTACGTAAAACACTGACAGACATTCGATGACCAGACACCTCTATCCCTTGTGACTGCTTGTTTGAAAAGCATTCTAGTGTGTCTTTGAGTGCAGTCACGGAGTGACAGACACAAGTTCTTGGTTTATACAATGTATACAACAAAACTTCCCAAACTACTGACCTTTATAGAAGAAAGTTGATGAAGTGTAGGTGTATTGGCACCCTTCAAAAACTTCTCAGACATTTTTTATAGTTTTTACTCAAATTTTATTTTAAATACAAATGAAACTAATTCATCAAGGAATTTGATCATGTTATGGACTAATTATTTGTCAGTTTCACCTTGACACTGTCCAGTACTCATATATCTTATGATCATTGTCAAATCTGTTTGCCCAGATGTCAGGACTCCGCAACAGACTGACCTCTCTTGTTTGATAAGAAACTCTTTGAGCTGAGGGCCCTGTGACTGGCTGGGCAGTACATTCGTTGATCTGTGATTGGTTATAAGCATGTCATATGATGTTATCATGGTGTATATTATTGGCTGCTTTCCGCTGGCGTGTCAGCCACAAGCCGACAGAGTTTCCTGATTGAGTTCTGTTTTTTTGTCGCTCAGAATTAAATCATTATTGACCACCATACACGCAGACTTTCTGTGCATTATTCCAACGTGTTTCTGCATTCTTGGTAAATCATGCGACGACAGATCACAATATAGTGTTTCCACACTGCAAAGTTTAAAATTAATGTTAAAATCTGAATAAATACTTTGGTTCAGTTTGCAGAAACAGTTTATTTCAGGAGTCTTGTAGTCGTGAGGCTGCAGGTTTGAGTCCAGGTTGTGTCAAAAACAGGCATCCAGCATAAAACAATTAATAAATATCTCATGGGAGTTTGCTCACTGTGGAATCCCCTGCTGAGGGAAGCAACCAATAAAATATCCTTACTCTATAAAAAGTCACTTACTGGCATTGTACAAGGTGTTTATGTACTTTATCCACTCAGTGAAAAATGTGACAAATTGAAAAGCCTTAGCTTCTCTTTCAGTTTTGTAATTTCAGGAAGATCAAATTAATATATCACTGGCTTTTCAACACCAAGGCATTTTAAAATTTCAACAGTCACAACACACTTCTGAAAAAATCTTTGCACACTAATGAACCAACACCAGCTCTGAAGCTGCAATCTTTGGAGCTCTGATGCAATGATGAGCCAAAAATGGGGCAAAAGTATTTTTATCCATGGAAAAGTCTTTAATTATGTGTTTATACTCTGTGTTTGTGTGAAGAAACAAAAAGCCTAAAATAATGTGTAAGGGTGTGTGAAGAAGACTGAGACAATACATCACAGAGTTAAGTTAGGGAAGGTGATGAGGCACTACATAAAAAATTAGTAATAGCATGAATTTAAAAAATAAACATGGGTGAATAGTTAAGAGGACTGCTGCTACTTCGCTGATTTACATTCTTCAGTTTTTAAGGACAGTAGAGTGGAAGGTTAGTACTACAAATAATCTACATCTGCATCTAC